AGTTGAACAGATATGCAGCAGCATAAATCTATATAAAATTAAATTTTAAAATCCTTCAAGCAGGTATTTTTGCAAGCATATGTAGTAAAACTTAATAATTACGTAATATGTAACGTACGTAGTTAAATAAATAACTGGAAATATCGACAGATGTACAAATTTTCTGCGAACGTAGCATATTTATTTTGAGGATTAATTATATCAGACTTGCTAGCCATTATTTTTATATCTCCTCCTTTTAATTCGTCTCCTCGTTTTAATTATATTATTTAGTGTAGAATGTTTTGTTACATGTAACAGAATAAACCGTACAATTATTGAAATACACAATTATTGGCCACTTGGATTTACGAGCTGCCAGTTAGGTTAATGTTTTGTGTTTATATCGCATTTCGATTTTCTGTATTGATGGCAGATTGGATATCTCTGTGTAAAGGAAATTGTGAATCATAAGTTCGCATTATAAATCCGCAGCAACCGATAATCTCGCTCATTATTTGACTGAGGGAACTAATAATAAATGCAAAATATATAATTGTAAATAACAAACCAATAATTTACAATTTACAATGCTTTATAATAATTTATTTAAAGCGCTTTTACAAAAACACATAAATAATTATTGACATTTCCTGTATATGGTATAACATGGTAGTTTTAATACAAAAGATATTGCTTTGTTTACTACTTTGTTCTCTACAAGAAATGTATTTGTATTGATATTTCTGTACAGGTATATGTTCTCGTTTACTTAACAATATGCATCGAATATAAATTTCTTGAATATATCTGAGAATTTATTAAATGTATTATTTGGAATAATAGTATCGTAATAGAGATCACATCTCGTTTGATAAGGCTTTTTCAATGATACTGGAGCTCAATTTAGTTCGTTTCGGTCCAGATAGCTCGATTTGCTAGTCATGTAATTTACAAAACAAAAAGAAGCCAGAGAAATTGGCACTTGGTGAGTATACTACCAGGATAAAACGAGTTGAGGAGAGGGAAAAACAAATTGAAATTTCAACTTGTAACGATCACACGCGCGCACTGTCTGGGATTTACCAACGGTATTTGCATTTCCGGCTACAGTAGAATGTATACAAGATGATACATCCAGGAATTAAGCCCGGAATAATTAGACTCAAGAATGATTGTCAATGATATAACGCGAAAATTCGAAATAATTATGAATAACAATCAAGATCAAAAGATAATGATGTTCAAATTATCATTTATCTTCTTTGTTTTTGTTATCTATTCTTTATATAATTTAAATGTTATTAATATCTCATGTATTTATTAAGAAAAACTTAATTTTGGATTATTTTAAAACAATAATAAAAAATTCCGAAAATTGTAGATTAAAGAAAATTTAATTTTATTAATAAATAAGAAAATAATATTAGGTGTTGGAATTAATTCGTAGCGTTTTTTAATGAAAGAATGTTATTTATTTCACATGAGCATTAAAAAATACATTAATGAAAGTACTTCCCATCACTTGTAAAACGCTACGAATTAATTCCAACACCTAATATAATAAATCAATGATAATAATATATATTATGAAAACTTGTGGAAATATTAATAAAGCAATATTAATCTAAATATTGCTAATTCATCTTCATTATAATCGATCTTATTGACAATAAGTCAGTTTTAATTATCGATTATTCGTTTAGTCATCGGCGAAATTATTCGTTTAGGAACACGACAGCTATGAGAAAAGTAAATATCCGCATTGACATGTAATTTGTAATTCGATGGACGAATATTTAATTATTTAACAGTGAATGTATTTAGTGAACAGACAGTGTGACACATGTTTGGAATTTCTAGTTTTCGAAACCGTACGTTCGAGAAACGCGAGTCGGATAGTGAGAACTTTTTCGAATATTTCTAAACTCATCACATGTGAAATGACACTTTTTATAGAATTAACAAGAAAACGTTATATTTCTAATTCTAATTAAATTCTAAATTCTAAATAAATCATAATCGATCGTATTGAAATAACTGTTCTACACAGTTTAACTGTTTTACGCACCTTAACTTTATTTGAGAAGAAAATAGTTTAAGTAGATATGTTTTATACACTTCTAAAACTTAAAGTAAAATAGTTTTGTTTGATTTCTCGAATGCGAGAAAGAAAGTTCCAGTAAAGTCTAATGTAGGAATGAAAAACAGACCGTGTCGGGATGGATCTTTTTCAGCGTCTTGTTACGATTTTTTTTGCAAGGATGATTAATCTGCACAGTTACTTAGACTTAGCGAATCCTGAGTTCAATACGTTACGGATACTAACATAAGTTTTCAACAAATATTTGGAAAAGTAAAGATATAATGTAATTTAAGAATGAAAATTATGTTTGATATGTTAAATATCAAAGAAACACTGATGATTCAATCCTTAAGTTAAATGACATTTTGTTATTTTTAACTTATATGTATGTCAAAATGTAAATCAATCCATTTCTGTAATTAGTTTCAAAGTAAACAACGCCCATACTAAAATATATTTATAATAATAAATAATAAACTGAGCTTGAATTAAATTTAATAAATTTTTTTGAATTAAATGGTTTAATTCCATATTTTATTAAATTAACAATACATTGAGTAGAAATAATTTAAATTGGACATAATTTGACATTATAAGTTTAATAGTATATGATAAGTAGCAAAATAGTAAAACTTAAAGTTTACCTTTAATTTTTATTTCTCCATTTAAAAAAAACTTATAAAAATGTATCTTTTTTTCTGGGCTATTTAAAATCGCGATCATATCGGACGTACTGGCGTTTATTGAGAGCATAAATTCCAACCAGCAGAGAAAGAAATCTCCGTTTGAAGAGTTGAATCGACGTTTCGCTCAACTTCGCTATTGCCCTATCTAGCAAACTACAGCTACGTTATTTACGAGTGACCAGGAAGAAGTACGACATATCACATACGACATATCATGACTCTTCGCTATAGATCGCGTCAAAATCAATCGCCTGTGTTAAATTTCATTGTTACTAACTTAGAGTCTGTTTTTTGATTGTTATAATACAAACATGTCAAAATCAAAATTTTAATAATTATGGATCCGCGTTTTTCTTTTTATATTTTGCATTATTTTCGGTATTTCGCGTTCCGTATTTCGCTTGTCTATTTTTATGCATCATATTTCTTGTGAATTTCATTGATATGCGCCTGACCATGCAACAGCACCGTCATGTTTCTCGTTTGTTCTGAATCGAGTCGCAAAGATCATTAATCATCTAATATCCAAACGAGAATAACGCTATGTATCAAAGATGAGATTTGACTGCCAATTTTCTCACTTTAATTTATATTTATGTAATGTACAATATTAATATTTTCTTTAAATTTTCATATCACAAACATTACTTATACAAATATGAACCAAAGATAAGATTTGACTGTCAATCTTCCTACTTTAACTTATATTTATGTTTATCGTGTATCAATATTAATTTTTATATTGTAAAAGTTTTTAGCCTAGATTATCGATAACATATTCAAAATGCAATTTTGATATAATCAATAACTATAATCGAATTCCGATATTCCTGAAATTCACACGCAATTGTTATCGTAAATCTAAATAAAGTTATTAATTAAAGTCATGCCATAATCGATATTAGAAATCATCGATATAGAATCATATAAAATAGAATTAAATGTTTTCTCGAATATTTATCTTCGTTACGGATTCAATGATAAATTAGAAATTGATATAGCATTATAAATAAGAAATTGTGGATGTATACTGTGGATAGAAAATCTCGAAATATTTAGTATCAAATGTAAATTAAATATCATCTAGCAATCGAGTTTCTGATAAAATTTCTGTGAAGAATAAATTATGAAAGCTATCTTCTAGGTCCTAGAAATAGCTCTGATAACTGGCATTGTCCGAGTAATTGGACGTCATTTTCAACTATACTCAGCACGAGTCCGTAAATGCATTGATGACTCTAGGTAGAACCGGTAAATTAGAGGAATCTTCTTCTCTTAAAAGCCACCGACTAATATCTCGCGTTCATTACACCTGCGGAGAAACGATCGTCTATCTAACAGTGGTTCGTAGTAATCCGCATGGTGGTTGTTCAAATTTTCGAGGAAATGAAACCACCTTAACAGCGACATATGAGTTCTGCGAATTGCAGCTCCATTCGTATGAAATGCTCACGCAGCGTCTTTTGCTTTAATTTAAGATAGACGCTTATTAAATATTCCGTAAATGAACAAATGAGATTAATTAATCCTTTAACGTACGAACCGTGCAAACGCAGCAACACTTTTACTGCGATGTTTTTAAATTTCTTATAAATGTAAAAAAAGAAGATATTTAAAATAAATTAATATTTTTGAAAGAAATAACGAGTTAATTAAATGAAATTTATTTAGAAACAAATTAATATGTGCTTAATAAATATTTAATAATATAAAAATTGCTTTTCACATTTTTTGTTCATCACAGATTAAATTAGCAACATTTTAACTCTTTAGCTATATATTAATTTAACTCACTTTAAATGATTCACACTGTATATAACATTCATTAGAAATAAATTAAAATAGAGAATGTTTTTTTTTTATAACTGCCCTTATAGAAATATAATACTGATCAATTTACTAAAAGATAGCAATTTTTTATTTATTTGATATATTAGAAGAGAGTACTGTTATTTAGTATTTCTAATATATAAAATAAATAATTAATTACTGCCTTTCAATATTAAATTGGCCAATATTAAATTGATTAGTATTAGATTTCTGTAATATTTATTTATGTTCTTAAATATTTCTAATTAAATAATTTACATTGATTGATTTTACATTGAGAAATTGCTGAACATAAAAAATTTATGTTTACACATAAATACATAATCTCTACTTTCTCAAATGCAACTAATGACATATTTTTTACAAATAATACAGAAATTAATTAATTGTTAAATATGCGAAAATGTCGAAAGACTCACCAAAGAAACAGCAGACGAATACAATGGTGTATAAAGTGATGAAAATTACTTTTACGTCAGTCCTGTCGAAAATATAATCTTCGTTGAACGACACATTGTAAAGCAGAGTTTCGTTGTTCATGTAGCTTTCATTGTTGCTGATCTCGTAAGGGATTGTATTTTGATCGCTGGAAGTTCTAGAACAAAAAAATTTATCTTTAATGACATTAAACCATTTACACTACATTTTCTTAATAGACTAATAATACATTAGAGACATTGTAAATAAATTAACTAAAACAGTTTGTAAAAAGAAACATACAGTGCTGTGTACATTATATACCTATATTCCGCGCAATAGTTTAGGTTTTTCATCTTAAACTTTATATTTAAAAGAATTAAGTAAAAGAAAATGATATGTCTATCTCTCTCTCTCTCTCTCTCTCTCTCTCTCTCTCTCTCTCTAATCTATCATCTTATACGTAGTTTCTTTCGAGATAAACGTTAAAATATCATAAAATTTTTAAACTTTACAGTAATCACATAGCAAGGTGGATGATAGTTATCAAGTGGGCGCATGACGTTATTAGACAAAAACTTTCATATATAATTAACAAGTTGCACAATATGATGGATGTCAAATATCATATACTTTGTAAAATATAGAGGAGAAGATAACATCTCATTTATATTATATATCGTGACTTGGTAATAATCAATATTTAAATTAAAAACTTAACGTTAAATGTCAACGATTACATTCGTCAAAGTGTTGTTTAATCGATTTTAGATTCAAAGTTAGGAAAGAATTTATAATTTAGGACACTATTTATAAAAATGTTGCGACACTCTGCATAATGACTCGAAGAGAAACAAGCACGACATTTGATTACAAAATTAATAAAAATATTACAGAATATGCAGATATACGTACACATAATTTCTTTCACATGTAAGCTGCTCAGTATTAAAAATCTATAGTATATATATATATAACATAAACTGTAAATTGTAGATTAACAGTAAGCTACAATCGATTTATAATAATTATTATTTTGATATGAAAACTTCGAAAAAGAGAGTTAACACGTTTAGGAAGTCACATTAACAAAATATCATGCTGTTGTTTAACACAGTTCAAAATGTTACATAACCAAATAAAATATTAAATAACAAATTACACACTCAAATATTCATATATTTATGTATAATACGTTTAAATTTGGAAATAACGAAAAAATATGTATAATTAATTGTGCCTTAAAAACGTTTCAAAATACTTGAAAATGCGTTATAAGTAATAAATGCTGGTAATTGTGTATTGGATATTAGCGTATCATGACGTAATGGCGAGCTTACTGAGCAAATAATTCCACAAATAATCAATAGAATTTGCTGTATGTAAAAGCAGAGAGATATTAAAAGAAGTCATTATATTTATATAGTGCCATAATACCTTCTTCTCTATATGCTAACATATTGAAATAAAATTAGAGAGAGAGAGAGAGAGAGAGAGAGAGAGAGAGAGAGAGAGAGAGAGAGAGAGAGAGAAAGCAATTGATTATATAAAAAAATGTATTACGATACTAACGTATTTGTATCTTTATAACGTAGTTGATATTCAAATTATCTTATATAAATATCAATTAAAATTTCATATATTTATTTATCAAGTATGATTTCATTTTTTTAAAAAGATATTTCAATTTTTTAGCTAAACATACTTTTTTATTTATTCCGAACATTAAAATTATATATTTAAATATTTATATCAGAATTTTTTATACTTTCTGTAAAAATCTATAGCTATTGACTAAAAATTAGTTTCTAACATAAAGTGTTACTGTTTAAATTTTTTTTTACGCTAAATTCTATTTTGTGAAGAAAATATCTATAGAATGTTGTAAGAATAATAGGGTCATCCAGTTTAATTTCGTTTTAGGAAGAAATGGGAGAATAGTAAAATATATGATCAGATAGCTCGATGCTGCGGGAAAATCCGGGAAGTCAAAATTACGTGAAAGAAATATCCGCTGGTTTTGGTCCTTTTCATGCTAATAAAGCCGAATAAAATATTACTTTCAAGAGTGTTAAAGTGATCGATAAAGTGACCAATGAGAAAACAAATGTATTTATCTTCTCAAATTTAATTTTATTAATATCATAATAAGTTATTATAGATATAAAGTAAAAATAAACAAAATTAAAATAAACTTCTTATTTTATTGCGGATAAACGTTTTAAATTTTTCTATCAAAACTAAATTAAAATTAGATATAATACCATAAAGAAAATACTATATTTGCATTAAATATTTTATATCTTATATAAAAACGTTACATAATACGTTCTGTAAAAAAATAACAGTTTAACTGTTATTAAACGATACCGTTACGACATTTCCATCCTTACAAACTTACGTAACATAAAAATAAATTTAAAAATATGGCGCATATGATTTCTTTCTTTTATGTCAAGTTTTATGTTTTCTCATTTTTTCTTAGAATTGTAAGGTACAAATTGTTATCTAGAAATTAATTATGATTTTTTTATTGTATAATTACGCGCACACAGCACACAAATAAATTCGTCCGAAAGAATCAAGAGTTTACGGATTTATAGGAGCAATCGAAAGATAAAACGTTTTATAGTACTCCGATAGTACTTTGATGTGTTTGCAGTATACGTATATATGTACGTGCTTCCATTTTTGCGATAAATTTTACAGACTCGCAAAATCACAGGGCAGGCAAAATATGGCACTTACACGGTTGATGACCTTGTAGTTGTGTTATCATATACGTGCTGACAGAAATCTGAAATTTTCAGTTTTGATGCAAAACATATACAAGTGGCCTAGTGGCAAATATACCAGTTTCATTATCTACAATTGATACCATTGAATCAAGTCGAGCTACAATTAATTACAGCGAGTAGGTTGACATGTGGAGAGTCTCTGACCTATTGAGTTAGTTTTACCTATACAGAAAGAACGATTTTGTTGAAGGATCTGAAAATTTTGGAAGGACCAAAATAATTTTATTGGGAACTCAAACTGATTGATAGAATATCAAAATCTTTTGCAGCATTGCTTATTATTTTTTAATTTCCAGCATAATTATGTAATAATTTAACAAACTTATTATTAGAGCCATAAAATAAATCTTTCAGCAAAATTGTTTTTTTGCCGTGGATTCTGTGATCAATTTTGGTGATAAAAAAATATAATTTATTCTAAAGTTTTGTAGTTTTTAAATTATTAATTATATATTTTATAATACATTAAAAAATTTTAAGTAAAAATTTTAACATAAGAGAATTTAAAAAAATAATTAAAAATAATACATTTTTCAGGAGATTGTATATATACATATATATATATGTATATATATACATATATATATATATATACAATCTAAAAAATTTATTATTTACACATAATAAATATATACTATATATAAAATTAATTATTCCTTTATTTATTTCTATTATTTTTTACATGCACAAAGATATTCAATAAATATAAGAAGATACAAGATAAAAATTAATTAGAATATAAATGAAACTCTATTTCTTTCTTTCTATTATATTTATCTCGCGAAACTCATTAAAATTAACAACTCTGAATATTCTTTTGATCCGAAATAAAGATTCATCAGCATTGTAATAACGCTTCTTGTGTCTCCAAAAGTCTATTTAACTTGGGGTTTGTGATAGAATTTGTGGCTGAGAGGCATGAATATGGCATAATACGAAACGCACATATTCGTCAAACTCATCCTTTCCTTCTATGTAATACGCAGCTTGACGCACATGTGCCATGTAAAAGGACACAGATATGAACCAACGGTGGCCAACGGTAATTGTACTTGTTTCGTGTTTATTACGAGCTCGCGTTATGTTATGTGGAAAGCATAACAGAGAGATACGGGAGTGACAAGCTACGGTTACAAGGCAAATGCGATCGTTCAATTCTCTAAACGAGTACAACGTGGATCGACCGGAAATAGGATTATCTCTTTCGAATGTGATTGGGACAAGGGATGTGCAATAGGTCATTGGTTAAAGTGGGTTAAAGAATCGATAAACGGCTAAAGTCGATCGGTCGATAACCGGTTATACGTGTTTGTTGTCATACTGATATTTCTACGTAATAATCGAATACAATAAAATTACAGATACAATATCAATCTTAGTTTTATTTAACAAAATATTTAAAAATTTGCACGCATTTTTTTTTATTGTAACACGTATGCGTTACATGACTAAATTCAGCTATTAGCACGAAAAAAATGATTTCGTTGAATCTAATAAATTAGCTACAGTTCTATAAATAATTTTGTTGAACTACAAAAATAATTATGTATAAGAAATTCAAGCATAATGAGCTAATGCCATAAAAAATTTATATGCAATCAGCTTGAGCATCCTGCAATAATTATTTTGCTAGTCCAACAAAATTATTTTCAGATTTATATCTAGCTAAATTTTTAAATACTTCAGTAAACTTTTCCTGTATAAAAGAATGTTTTAAAAACTTCTATTTGTAAAATTTCTTTCCGCAATTATATTCGATTTAGTATTTTCTATTTTTTAAACAAAATTCTTATTGATAGCAGCAATAAATAAAAAACTAAATTTTTATTTTTAAATACTTCAGTAAACTCGTTCTTTCTGTATAGAGGAATAAAATGTTTTGAAAACTCCAATTCATAGAATTTCTTTCCATGATTTAGGAAGAAATTTTTATTTCTTTCGTATTCACCGTTTGAGTTTAACCTTTTCTTGTAACTCATAATAAAGGTATTCAAGATATGTATATACAAGATACGTTTGTGCATTAACTTATAAAAAAACTTGAGCTTCTTTTTTTTGTTCATGAGACAGAATGGAATGTTCCTAGAAGTCGCTAATGAGAGTGCACTTGGATAACAATTAATTATGCAGCATATTTTGCAAATTTGCTTCACGGCTTTAAAAAAGCAAAAGTTGAAATGGCAAAAATCGGATATACTGAATTTGTCATTTGTTTTATTAATTTATTACGCAACTCGTAAACGCGAGCCATAAATTAGTAAAACAAACATTTGTTAATTGCAAAATGAATCACTTTCTAAATAAATTTTATGCTACCATTATAAGTGTATAATCATTTTATATCAATATACTCTATCATTTATTAAATTCATTGGATTGA